TCCTAGGGTACCACTTAACTTGACATTTTGACCTTGACCTAGGAGTTTGACCCAGTTTTACATAAAAATCCAAACTTTTACTTTGGCCATATCATTTGAACATTGGATACCAGGGTTGTTATAATTTACATATAATTCACATATATATTTTTGTTAAGAGACCTTTCATTGGACACAACAATTTTGACCTTGGAGATTTTAGTACTTGTGAAAAAACTTTAACCTTGGCCATAACTTTTGAACGGTAAGGCCTAGGGCTTTCATATTTCACCTAATTTATCCTTGTGACAAGAACTTTCATTTGATATTAAAATTCTTGAACCTTTGACCTTGACCTTGAAGTTTGACACATTTTTACACAAAAAATCTAACTTTTACTTTGGCTCTGATTTTTCAATGGTAGATACTAGGAATACCATATTTTAAATATCAAGTTTTCGTGACAGGAGCTCTCTATTGAAACCAACAATTTAAACCTTTTGACCTTCATAATTACGCATTAATAAGAAAACTTTACCTGACCATAACATTTGAATTGTAAGATTTAAGTCTTTCAAACTTCACTTATGTAGTCATTGTGAGACCTTTCATTGGATTTCAACACTTTTAACACTTTGACTTTGACCTTGGTTTTTGACCTACTTTTTACAAACAAATCGGAGTTTATCATACCTTTAAAAACGCTTACCTTGGCCGTAACCTTTGAACAGGTGGTGCAATGGGTTTTCTATGTCATATTTGTATTTTTTTGGAAAGGCCTTACTTTATGTACCAATATATGTGATCTGCATTTGAGAAACCTTAACCTTCGCTATGTTGCCATACTAGGGCATCAGTGTTTCACAAACACATCTTGTATTTGCATGCTGTTGTTTCTTGGAAGGATTTAAGACGTAAACCCAAGTCTAGTCTCAATACAGTCCATATGTATAGTCTCAATACAGTCGATATGTATAGTCTCAATACAGTCGATATGCATAGTCTCAATACATAATAATACGCAAACCCCATACACCTGGGTATATACGGAAACAATTAATTCATAACATGCTTTCATTTTTATCAAATGCATACAATAACAAAAATATTTTTGTCAAATTTCTCTACAATGCAATTGATTAAAAAATTGATACTCTTTAATCAAGAAATATGTAGATTATATTTTAGCACTTTTGATAAAAAAGTTTCTTAGATTTTTTTTTTCTTTCTACAAATCTGATTCTAAACTTTGAAAAAAAAAACTGCACATTAGATCTGGAAAATATATTTCTGCAGTGTATCAAAATTGTTCATTTCTAATTTCACCCATAAACATTATATTCCTATGTTATTCAAATTGAAATAAAGTTTGGCCTAAGTTTGCTTATGCTCGTTAGAAAATATTCTATTGTTTCATATACCACGACGCAAAAAAGAGAATACTTTCCCTTCAAATGTCTACTGAATTAGGATACAGCGGATCAAATTTTATAATTTTTAGAGCATTCAGGATGTAAAGCAACAACTCATATTGTATCGTCGGTGTTTCAAATTTGAAGATGATTTAATTTTTAATTTTTATCTTGTCCTTTTCTGCAGAAGTTGATCTCAACGGTTCATTTGCATTTCGTGCCAATGTTTTGACATTTGACGACAATGAAAGACTCATTTTTGGTAATTGGACACCAGTGACGTATCAGAACTGGAATCCTAACGATGAGGGCGAGACAGCAGTTGACCCAATCTTTGGCCTCCTTTTGACTTATCATAACGACGGCAGGTGGCGCTGGGTGACTGAGAGAAACTACACGTACTATACAGGAGAAGACAGACTAAAACTTCCCTTTATTTGTGAGGATTCTCCATTTTATTTGGAGCATGAAGAGTGTTCTGTTACATAATGATTCATTCTCTTTTAATTAAAATAAACATTTGCAACCATTATCTTTTGTTATATAATTTCATTAAGCATGGTAAATAAAGTTCTAAATCATTAAATGGAGTATTCTTAAGTTAACGTCGGATCGTATATTCCTCTCCTCGGAAGTCATCTAGATTTATCCTCGGATCGTATATTCGTCTCCTCGGAAGTTATCTAGATTTATCTACCGATCGTACATTCCTCTCCTCAGAAGTCATCTAAATTTATCCTCGGATTGTATATTCGTCTCCTCGGAAGAGATCTAAATCTTTTCTCCGATTGTATATTCGTCTCCTCGGAAGAGATCTAGGTTTATCCTCATGTTTTAAATAAACTATGAATAGCATGTACACAAAGACAGACAGTGGATAATATTGTTTCGTTATTTTCCCAAGGAAACTGACTGGGATCTCCTCTCACCATACATACAAACATTTTAGCTCAAAGTGTTGTTTTTAAAATTTCTATCCTTAATCCAAAGAACAAGAGGCAAATATATTTTCCTAGGACGGTCGGTCCAGTTGTCTGTTTGTTTGTTATTTTTTTTTCCTGATTTTAATTTAATTGGTTTGAGCTATGGATTTCATATTCCACAGGTGTATATGATATGAAAGGACCTATTCATGGGTTTATTTTTTCTCCTTTATTTTGACTTTCATATGAGAATTTAAACCTTGGTTAAATGAGCCTTTAATTGGTTTGAGCTATGAATTTCATATTTCACATGTTTTTTCTTTATTTTGACGGTCAATTTGGAATTTTAAATTTGTACCTTGGTCATATGAACCAACCATGGCTTTAATATTTCACTGATGTATTCAACGTGTAAAAAAATTTCCTAGGGTTAAAGTATTTTTGACTTTGACCTATATGTCTGACTCACTTTCAAAGAAATTTTCAAAATTTTATTCTTAGCCGTAGCTACTACACGGTGAAATCAAGTGATATCATACTTTTCACGATGATATTTTGATGAGACCTTCTCTTGAGTATAAACAGTAATGACCTTGATCTTATGGATTTGACCTACTTTTCAAAAACGTTAGCTTTTGACGTATTTACTGAATATTTAGTGCTAGGGACTTACTATTTTACCGGTTTATTTCTTGTGGTAAGAGCTTCTCTTGAATACCAATATTTTCTTTTTCATATTTTTTATCCTTTTATTTGGACATCAGACTTTGACCTTCTTTTGAAAAAAACTTTGGTGATAACTTTTGAAAGGTTTCCTCCGTGACTTTTATATTTCACCTATGTATTCTTTATGAAATTCTTTTGGGTATTATTTATATTGATTCCTTGACCTTGTCCAGTTTGACCCATTTTTGAAAATCTCTAACTTTGGTCATAATTACTGAACTGTTGCTGCTTTTAGGATTTTTAGTTCTTGAAGGTAGACTCATTGTGAGGAGCTTTTCTATTGGTACCAATCCTAGTTTATATTGACCGTGGTGTTTGACCTGCAAACGACAATATTAATCATAAGCCTCTTTGTTTCACAAACTTATCTTGAATTTTTATCATTAGCTCCTAAAATTTTTCCTATTGATTTAATAACAAATTTCAAGTTGAAGTCTATCAAATTTTTGGATATACTAGTATATAAACCATAGTTAACACATTGCATAATAGAGAATGACTTGTCACACATACTGAATCATTTTATTTCAAAAGATGTAGTCTCATAATTGCAAAACTATTTTCAAACATATTAATTAATGTTAGCTTGCTAAGTTTTATTTGCAAAGGCAGTTGCAGATATATGAAACATCTTTCAAAAATAATGAATCAGTGCTTATTTAATTCTAACTCCTTGTCTTGTTTTGCAATTTGATTTCTTTTTTTAACTTACTTGAATTACATTTAACCAAAATATTAATGAATTAAAATGATTTCAAATTTTGCTTTTAATGTTTGTGAAGTCAAAATAAAACGCATATTTCTCATGTAACCTTTTAATCCCCGATCTGGTGTTTTGAATTAAAAAAAAAAAACAATAAAAAATTAAAGTATCTATATAAGTCTACTATAACGTATATTTTGCATTCAAGAACAGAAAGATCTATTTTTTAATGATTATCTGTAGCAATAGAAGATATTGATATTCAGAAAATGTGATTTTTTTTTTACTTTAAGCTCATAATCTAGTATCATTGAGAATCTAGTATCATTGGGTTTCTTGCCACACCTAAAATTCAAGCTATCTAAATATATTTATGGTATAATTAGATTTGTGGAAAGAAATATTCAGTACGCCTCACTTCAATATTTTAGCTTATTTTCTCCATGATATTAAAATTAACAATAATTTCAGTTTAAGCGGTTTCAAGTAGATAAATGGATACTTAAATGCAGATTCATTAAAAATACTGCATGGATAAATAAGATAGGGATATGTTTTTAAAGAAGTATAATCTTAGATGTATTGTACCACAAAACATGATTATCAAATATACCTATGATTTTAAAAAAAATATATCTTAACATCTTTATTACAATGAAACTTGTCTTATCCCACAAGGTCAGGGAACAGATTAAATATAAATGTGTTGGAATAAACAAGGTGTAGTATTGCAGAGTGTAAAGATCATTGAGATAAGTATAGATGACATTGGCTGAAATCACAGTAAAGAGTATTGCATGTGTTGGATTAAACAGGTTCCACTGTAATAGGTTTAACAAAAAAGTAATCTTCGTCCTAATTCTCCGCCCAGTTATCTCCTTTTTTCAGTGTTTGGAAAAAAAAAACAACGAAATATTCCTAATTTCAAATTTATTACAACACATATAAAGTACATCTTTTACTGAATACATTCAGTATCGCTTTACAGAGCAGTTCAACCCCCTTCTTTTACTGTTTGTTACTTGATGTTAAATATAAAAAAAAATCTCAGCGATAAAAATCAATTTAAAATCGTCTCTTGAGGGTTTCCATAATCCATTGATGATCCTTTGTCTGTTAAAGAAATTAAATTAATACTTCACAGATAAATGTATGATAGCATATTTTTTTCTTTTAAAAAACAACTTTTATAACTAAAATTTTCAGAGTAATACAAAAGTAAAAAGAACTTGTTATTAAGATGTAATGATGTTTAACCTAGTTCCGTCTGATCATCATGGTGGTCGCCTTCACTGATGTCCCACTCTGTACTGTGGGATACCATGGCCAGCGCCACTCCCCCGGGGACCATTGACCGTTAAGGAAGGCGTGGCTACATTTGTTAAACCACCAGCCTCCTCTACGGTCACTGCGAGCAGCACAGATACCATTATTATATCTGTCGTTATCCCTGTCATGGGTGGTGAAGGACATCCCAGAAAGATCGAAGTTATTGGGGTAAATAGTGTCTAACATAGAGTCACCTGTAGAAGTAACAAAGGAATATATTACATGGACACTTGTTTAAAATAGATCAGTAGAGTTATATCCACTATACTCGTCGTGATCTCTGTCTGGGTGGAGAAGAACATCCCAGACAGATCGTGGTAAAATAAAACCTGTATTTAACATACTGTCCCCTGTAAAATCAAACAAAAAGAATCACAAAGTTAATTGATTTATATATTTTTAATCTTATTGTCAATAATAATACTGAGGTACTTCTAAGATAGACGGCTTTAGGTGCTGGGTAGAGCGATAATATTTATTTAGTTCAGCCGTAGAATCCCTGGTGTCTATCATACTGGCATCTGCAGAATTAGATAAAATATATAACAGAGATAATGATTATTAATTTACATCACATTAATCTTAATACTGAAGTACGTCTGAAATACATTGTTTAACGTGTTGTTTCCTTTACGGAGAGGTAAAAATAATACAAGACAACAAAACACTACACAATTCACATAGCATCCTTCTAGTGTAACAATAAACAACAGACGTGTTACATTTTTTAAGCATGGTATTATTGGGGGGGGGGGGTTAAAGGTCATTTGAAATTTTAGAAAATATGAAAAAATGATATTTTAATATTTGTCCGAGACCGTGCCTTTAAACATGTATAACATGCAATACTAAGTAAATCATTAATTACGAGATAAGATATTGTGTATCTGTGAATGTTTTAGGATGGTAGATTTCCTTTAAATAAATGGAAATGTGAAACGAGTTTAGGTCTTTAAAATTTGGATTTTAGGCTTTTTTAATTTGAATATTTATCCGATCAGAAATTTTTTTATCATCAAATTTTCGTAAACCTTTCGACATTTAAGATTAATGAGGCACTGTAAACTTCCTATTCCATAGTAGTAAAAAATGTAATTCATTGAAAATCAGACTATCGTGCTGTCTAAACTTTTTCCGTATTAGTTGAAATGTAAATTATCAAAAATTATCAGGAAACCCAAGCTGAAAAACAATGTTGAACAAATGTAATTATTGGATTTGTTTGTTTAAAAAAATTACGATAATTTTCCTTGTACATAAAATGTATAATTAGAAATTTTATCTACTTAACAATAATAAATTCATTTTCTACTGAACACGTAAATGGTACCTGCAAGTGATATGCTTAAATATTAAACATGTTTAATTAGCGTGGAATCAAAAAAAGTATACAGAATATCAGAAAAAACACATCTTTTTACTTTTTTTTCAACAACTTTATAACCTGTCAATACAGAAAAGTATTATTATAATGATATACGTAATTTGAACCTAATTTTAAGAATTTAACATGAATACACTTACCTAAAGTTCCCGTGGCAGGTCCTGCAAGAAAGAGTTGATATTTTCCTGCTTCGTCGGAGACAGAAAATCGGTCGTACATTTCATACGGAGTTGAACCATTCTGGAGAGTGATGGACACATACAGGGATGAGGTGTTTTCTTTTGTTAATTTATGGATTACGTCATTTCCTGTATAAAGATATATTTGAAATTATCTGAAAAGTTCATCGAATACAATTAATGTTTTAAAAATCTATATGAATCCACCGTAATCAAAAATCAAATTATTTTCCATAGCTGTAGACAATATCGCTAAATTTGGTCTCATTAGAATATGTCGCTAAATGATATTCCTCTTTTCTATTTTTTTTTTTATTATTTAAGATATCAATTAAGCACGATATGTGAATATCATAGAACACACATTACCTAGTCTTAAATTTAGATCTTTATTACGCATTATAATTTTTTACTTGCCTCAAGAATCTTTTTTATCTCCAAACTTTGAAGGAATAAAACGTTCTTATTTGAAATCAATTTACACTTACCAATCCAGACATTCTGTTCTGGTGAACCAAAACCATTCTTATAATCCATCCAGTTCCTGTCAAAGATCACGGATCCGTCTATGCGTTTCTGAATTGCCTTTGAGAATTAACATGTAATACAATTCAATTTATTTCTTCGAACATTCATAGAATCCATGTTTTAATATAAACTAGAATACAATCCAACAACCCTTAAAGTAACCAACATAATGTGAGTTATATTAAGTACTTTTAATTCTAAAATAAACGACCTACCGTCCATCCCCCACCCATTGTGGTCATATCGCAATACACACTGACCGGTATTGTTAGTGTACCGTAGGGGTATATATCATATACCCCTGTGATGTTTTGTCCGTTTTCTAGAAGATCCTTGCAATCTTGGGGCATGCTAGGAAAGTCTAAAAAAATTACCAGAGTCATACAATGTATATGCACAAGAAGTAGGAAGATATATAATGCCTGTATGATATATAATTGTTAATTGTTGAAGCTAAAATGTTAACAACATGCATAATGGCTATTATGTTAAACTGTTCCTCATTATCTAAAACATTTTTGTTTTCTAATTGACACAAATCTTTGCTTAAGGACATGTCTAAATGTATTTCAAAATAAAATACAAGTATGTTCAATACTTTGTTGATTGAAAGAATTGTAAAAGAGGAATACATTTGTAGATAAGATGACACACAATTTAGACACTGAGAGATATTTTGAAAAATGTAGTAAAATCATGATATATTTTATGCATGATGCAATGTATCTGAAATCGAACTATTCATAGATTCTTAGGTTGATTCAATGACCATGTTTTCCAACACTTTCTATCGTATCAAACTTCAACAGATTGTAAGGCGAAAAAAATGTAAAAGATAAAGAATTGTGTCCTCTCAAGATGGACCTAAAACACAAAGAAGCAAACAGAAAAAAATAACCAATATACATACCATCATCCGAGTAGTATCTCCAACCGGCCTCATCAGACAGTCCAGATGTAAGACCTTTCTTGTGGGTTCGACATTTCTTCATTTGACTGTTGAATCCAAAGAAAACGCACTCCCTTTGACATATCGCGGCGCACTCAGTTAACGAATAAGCATTATGCTCCCCTAAAAGTTCATAGTTTGACTTCTTATCATTAAGTTCGAGTTTCGCTTTATATTTCTGAGAAATAATAGTAGCTTTAGATAAAGCTAAGAAGCCTACAGTTAAAGTGATAACCCACTGATTGCTCATTTTTTTGTTGCGCAAAAAACTGCCGCGTTCTCGTGAATCTGTAAAATTCTGCTAAATGGTCTTTTAACAGCAGAATATATATATCGTACCATAATCACAGTCTGCAATGTGATTGGCTAACTGTTACGTATTCTATATTTCACTGTTTTAAGTATCGATTTTATCAAAGTTCATATGAATTGTCATAAACACTTATTTTAAAATTGCAATTTAAATATAAAAATGAAAGGTGTGCTGTTTTTAATTTAGTTAATGCCTGTTATGTTATGATGTTGTTCAGTGTTTTTTTATTACAGACCCTAAACCGTGCTACTACACCTCAGAAACAAACCGTACCGTTCCGTGCACAAAGCGTACCGTACCGTGAACAAAGCGAACCGTTCCGTTCACAAAGCGTACCGTACCGTCCACAAAGCGAACCGTTCCGTGTACAAAGCGTACCGTACCGTGCACAAAGCGAACCGTTCCGTGCACAAAGCGTACCGTACCGTCCGCAAAGCGTACCATTCCGTGCAAGAAACGAACCGTACCGTTCTTTGGTTAATTATGCAAACCACGCCCCAATGATTTTCGAACCGTGCTTTGTCATTTTGGTTTATTTCTCTCAATAGCGCCCGTGAAAGAGGACGGAGGTTATGTCTGACTATTTGAAACACCATTATCAAGTAACATGCATCTGGGCTTTCAACTGTGAAAATTCAAAACAACTAGACAGAGTTTACATTGATTACTTATTTGCTATAAATTAGATCAACTCGTTGTGTTTGTGATCAAAGGTACAGTACAGGCCACGAGTTTTTTCCCGCAAAACACGGGCACCGTGAACCTTGAACTCGATGTCGGCATCTTTGAAGACAGCGATTGTGGACACTGTGTAACACAATATATATCAGTTCCCCATTACGGAACTGATAATACATATTTTCATTTGAGAATTATTTTAGAATCAACTTAAAAAAAAAATGTTTGTTGTACTTAAATATTCGTAATTTAACTATACAGATGTTTAAACTAATTCCCTGGTTGTCTTGACTTAATTTCGATTTTAATTTTGCCCATTTCAATTGCTGAATCAGATACACGATCGTTTTTGCCGTAAGTATGCATTCATATGTGGTTCATATCAGATGCCTGATTTTTACTAATTAATTATTTTGTAAGAAATTTAAAACATATAATTATGAACTGTCTGGCTAGAGTAAGATTAAAAAAAATGTATTAGACTCATATTTTAATTAATTCTGCTCAGATAATTATACTCGGCGAATCCCTGATGCAGTTAGACTTACACTGAAATCGGCAATGGATTTAAATTTTACAAGCGGTAAACAGGGACTTCAGATTTCTACTGATAGGATATAATCTGACTAATAAAAATCATGGTCTACATGATACATGCTTATTTGTGTCTGAAAAAAGGATAGTTTACAAAATAAAATGAAAATAAAAAATACAATGATTTTTCTCAATCCTCTTTCAAGCCACATTATGTTTGTTAACACCCCCCCCCTTTCCTAGAAGGCGATACTAATTAGCTAGTTAAAACTCATCAAAAGTCTGCGAAGTTATGTGACGCTATTGTGCATTAATTTTTATTGAATAATGATAATTAATGGATACATCCTTATCTAATTGTGTCTGAAAAGGGATATTTTAGGAAGTAGATGAGTTTCGCTGAATGTCAGTTGAGTGAGTTTTAAAAATGCATGTACACTTGATGAAGTCAGAGCTAAATAATTTGAAAGGTGTGTTTAATACACGGCACCCCTACCCTCTGGCTGTGACCTAATATTTTTTTAAAAAGTGTAAACTCTGAAATGACCATCAGAATGTTTCAAATCACAAGAGAAATTCTTTCAGTGTAAACAGACTTTCAAGGTCACCTAGCGTCATGCGATTTTGATTGACAGGTTTCCTACATACAAAGGACAAGTTTTCAAATGGTTGTAGCTTCATATCGATGCACAAGGATTTCCGCATACAGCATGAATAAGCACAAAAGACATTGTAGAAGAAAAGTAACATGTCTTGATATAGATATTCAATTTTAAAGTAGTGAGAGAACACGGGTTGAAATCTGGTGCATTGCGCAATAGTTATTTTCAGATAGGTTTTTTTACATACCAATAAACAAAATGAGTTTGAACCAAAGTTGTGGAAATTAAATAGCATCTGTGACTTTGGCGTTGTAAATAAAACCAAGAATGAGAATAAATACAAGATTTTGTTGTTAGTTGTTGGTTTTTTTTTTTTTTTTTACAGATTATGTAACGGGGTTTAATCTCTACCTCTTTCTCTCTCTCTTTCACGACATAGTATTTACACATTTTACAAGAAAAGAATAACTTATCAAAATGAAGAAAAACGTATATAAATAATTACTTAGACTGGAAGGATTTTAAAAAACATAATGTTAGTTTATGAAAAGAAATATTTTCTTTACGCGAAATGCGATCGGAAGTCATTTTATTGATTCCGAGTTTCTGCTTCTGATTTTCGTATCTAAATTCAGAGTAATTAAAGATTTTCAGATTAATCAAAGATTTCCTTAAGAAAAACAACAACAAAAAAGCCTTGTAAATTTTTTTTAAAATTATTTTTCTTCAACATTTTTATTAATAAATTTATTTTTTGTTACTGATATTTCTCTTCTAAGGCAGACATTTAAACGATAGATCAAACAATTTTAAAAACGAGAAACAATGTACATTTCTTATTACATGTATTACTAAGATTAAAAATAAAATCGTGAATAGTCTCTTTTTTTCTAGACCAATCAATTGAAAGTAATTTATATACGTGTATTGTGTTTAACATGGAACAAGTATATATTCAATTCTGTTAAAGCTTTATTCTAGAATGAAAAATTATTATACATGTATAAATGTGTGTCTTTTTTCTATTTAAAACACAGCCTCGGCAAACGTAAAATAAAAATATTTACCTTCTATATATTTTCAAATGCCAAAAAGATCAGTGGGACGATGTTTTTCCTTTCATTTTATTTTCTTATTTCCTCCATCACTGCTTCAATGTAAATTAATTGTTAAAATTGAAACCGAAACATAGCACACAAGGCTATGATAAACACAATTACATACATGTAATTGCATTTAATTTTTTCGCTTTTTCGCTTTTTCAAAGACTATTTTAATTTTTTTTTTATATAGATTTGTGCATTTTTTTTAAATTATCTATCCTTCTTGCATGCTCATACTAAGATCGTAACAATCCAGTCAGGCGGATCAATATAAGCACACTTTCTCCGAGGACAAGAATAGCTCACTTTGTGTTACTCGATACAGGTGTTCTTGGCAGCATTGAAATGCGATGATATTCATTAGAATTTGATCACATTGACTTTGGCTACATATATATCAGTAACTGTTTTCCTTGGATTTCATTTAGGCTTACATAATTTGCACACATTAATAGCATGTTTTATTATATCCACTGATAAATAAAGCCTAGACATAAAGAATAGAATTTCAGAGACAGTAAACATTACCATTACATGTATGCACAATGAGAAGTAAAGAAAAATATCAATTATTACATTGGAGAATAAAAAAAAACTCGGAAAAAAGAGTTCCTCCTATTTCTATCACTGAAATAAAGATTTCGGAAAAACAAATTGTTATGTGTATTCAGCCTAAAGTCATTAATCAGAACGGAAATCACAAGGTTTTTGTAGAGAGAAAAACCAAGCCCGGTCCCATAGGTCAAATCCCTATTTAGAACGAAGTGATCCTTTATATGAATTATAAATAAATCACATTCCTTAATAACGGAAATAAAATTGTACACGTGCATAACAAACTTCAAAATTCGTTTAAAATGGACTATTTTTTAGCAGCCAATCAATGACCAAAGCTAACAGGCTCCACCCACTTCATTTGCATACCGTTTCCCAAAGCGTACAGTTCACAAAACGAACCGTTCCGTGCAAGAAACGAAACGTACCGTCCACAAAGCGTACCGTGCCGTGCATAAAGCGAACCGTACCGTGCACAAAGCGTACCGTTCCGTGCACAAAGCAAACCGTTCCGTGAACAAAGCGTACCGTACCGTGAACAAAGCGAACCGTTCCGTGTACAAAGCGTACCGAACCGTACCGTGCAAGTGGTGTAGTAGCACGGGTTAGGGTCTGTAGCTATCTTTAAAATATGGAATTTGATATCTATTTTCCTTCATCCACTCAAACTGAATGAAATTAGAAATCAGCAATTTTGAAATAAAATTCAAAGTAAAATTATCTGATTCTAAGACATTATTAAGAATATATTGAATATATTGATTTTTCAACTTTGATACATTAGCCAATAAATGTTAATGTAACACAATATATGTACATCATCATTGGTTTATTTACTTTTGAGTCTTAGAGAGACATACATTTGTAAAATACAATTATAATAGAATTCTATAAGACTACTTTTAAGCCCGTTAAAAACTTTTTAAAATGAAAAGTACTAACGGTAGATGTTCAAAATAAAGAACCGTAATACGTAATGCCTCGAGCCCGGGGAGGGGTGCTTAGCCATTATATAGACAGTGAAAGTTGAGATTTACCTTTTCGATTAACCCCTCCCCCCTTCCCACATATTGGGTGCATGAAAGCATGACGTCAATCCATGACCTAGTATTTTACAAAGATATATATGTAGGATTAAGTATTCTCATCCAACGGTCATTCCTACTGTGTGTCCCATGTCATGATCGAGCAAATCGACAAAAAAATGGACAATTCAGTGTTATACAATCATAATGACGAATTGTATATAAAATGTGAGTTTACTTTGGTCTTAATCATGACCTATATTTTATATGACAGGGTCATTGTATCAAACACAAAACTTACGAAATTCTCACTTAAAGCGAACTATTGATTCAATTGATTTACCACATATTTCTACTAGTTAGCCTAGTTTTTGAAACTGCGAAAAACAGGTCTCTTAGGAATGGATCTTTAAGCCTTGAATAAACAATGTCGTTTGTAA